AGCTAACATTTCAGCCTTGTCATTGCGTGTGAGCATGTCTGTGGAGATAGCCACTAACTCTGCTGAGATCTATGAGAGCGCTTTACACTTTGGGGAGCCCTGCGTCGAGCCTGCTGTGCTCATCTAGCTGAGAGACATGGGCACCATTTTGTCCAGGTCTCGTGTGTTGCGTGGGCCCTGCGGTATAGCCAGAAAATTGTCCATGGGACAGGGATGTTGTCTTTGTGGTGCCACATAAGCGGGTAGCTGTTTAAGGGCTTTTGCAGGTTGGGGCCTAGGAGCTCGCGCAACGTGTGTCCTACTCCATCAGTAGCCAAGCCACGCCCCCTCAAAGTAGGGTATTTTATCCCCCAGAGAATCAGACACAACTATACATGGGTGGTATTACTGTACTCAGAGATTTTGCTGAACACATATTGGGGTGTTCTTTGGCAGTAACCCTTGAATGAGAATTACCCCCATGATGGCATACCATTGCAAAAGAAGACCACCCAAGGTATTGCATATGGGGTATGTTCAGTCTTTTTTTCTAGCCACTTAGTCACAAACACTGGCCAAAGCATTGTGACTACTAAACAAGACTGGACATACCCCATATTGAATACTCTGGGTTGTCTACCTTTCAAAAATATAGGGTTTGATTACATTGGCGGGCTTCAAAATAGACCATGGGTGCATGGGACCAGCTGTGAAAATTCCACGTTGGAAAACTGGAGTGTGCACCCTCCAAATAAGGTATTTTGGCCCCAGAGAACCCGACACACCTATACATGGGTGGCATCACTGTACTCGGTAGATGTTGCTGGACACATATTGGGATGTTCTTTGGCAGTAACCCTTAAGTTCTCAGTTCATGTATTCTTAAATTGCTATCTGTGTCAAAAAAATTATCAATTTTTTTTTTTTTGGTAAAATGGTTGCATGAAAAGAGCATGAAAAGACTCAAAATACCACTAGTTTAATACCTTAGGTTGTCTTCTTTTAAAAAAGATATACATGTCAAGAGTTATTCAGGGATTCCTGACAGATATCAGTGTTACAATGTAATTTTAAGTTTAATTTTGAAAACAAAAGGTTTGGAAATAGCAAAGTGCTGCTTGTACTTATTGCCCTATAACTTGCACACAAAAAAAGCTAAGAACATGATAATATTGGGAATTTCTAAATTCTGGACAAAATTTAGAAACTATTTATCATGGGTGTTTTCTGGCGGTTGTTGATGCGTAACAGATTTTGGGGATCAAACTTAGAAAAAGTATTTTTTAAAATTTTTTTTATCATATTTCATAATTTTTTTAGTAAATTATATGATGAAAATAATTGTATCTTTAGAAAGACCATTTAAAGGTGAGAAAAATCGGTATATAATATGTGTGGGTACAGTAAATGAGTAAGAGAAAAATTACAGTTAAACACAAACACCGCAGAAATGTAAAAACAGCCCTGGTCCCAATCGGTAAGAAAATCAAAAAGTGGTCTGGTATCCCATCTTGGAGAATGGTGGTGCTGTATCATAATATCAGGCAGTGTTCATTGAACAGGTACCAAACTGTAGTTGTGACTTCAAAGAAAGGTGCAATTGAATACTTCCAATGACTAGAGACAAAAAAACAGCAGCAGTGCAGATCTTATATGTAAGCCTATAGGCACCTTTAGAAAGTTTATATTGTGTGTGTGACCTATTTAAAAGAGCGATACAGGCATGTGGTTTGAGCACTGTACTTAAAACAATGTAAATTATGGTGAAGAGAACACCTGAGCCCATTATACTTTAATGTGATGAATAGTGATGTACCGAACGGTTCGCTGGCGAACGGTTCCTGGCGAACATAGCATGTTCGCGTTCGCCACGGCGGGCGAACATATGCGCGGTTCGACCCGCCCCCTATTCGTCATCATTGAGTAAACTTTGACCCTGTACCTCACAGTCAGCAGACACATTCCAGCCAATTAGCAGCACACCCTCCCTTGCAGACCCTCCCACCTCCTGGAAGGCATCCATTTTAGATTCATTCTCAAGCTGCATGCTTAGTGAGATGAGGGAAAGTGTAGCTGCTGTTCATTAGATAGGGAAAAGCATAGCTAGGTTAGGGTTAGGGTATGCTTTTTTTTTTTTTTCTATGTAATGTAATTGCAGTTAGTTGTCTGCCACTGTTGCCAGCTTCTGTGTCAGGCTCACAGTGCATACTGTGCCCATTTCCCCAGTCAGTGCCACCACTTACATCTGGTGTCACAATAGCTTGGATTTAAAAACAAAAAACTTTTTTAACTGTTATAGATTGAATAGCAGTCAGTTGTCTGCCACTGCTGCCAGCTTCTGTGTCAGGCTCACAGTGGATACTGTGCCCATTTCCCCAGTCAGTGCCACCACTTATATCAGGTGTCACAATAGCTTGGATTTAAAAACGAAAAACTTTTTTAACTGTTATAGATTGAATAGCAGTCAGTTGTCTGCCACTGCTGCCAGCTTCTGTGTCAGGCTCACAGTGGATACTGTGCCCATTTCCCCAGTCAGTGCCACCACTTATATCTGGTGTCACAATAGCTTGAATTTAAAAACAAAAAACCTTTTTCACTGTTATAGATTGAATAGCAGTCAGTGTCCTTAAAGCGGGTGTGTTACGCTAACAGTGGATACGGTGACCAGTGCCACCACTTAGATCTGTTGTCAAAATAGCTTGGATTTAAAAACAAAAAACTTTTTTCACTGTTATAGATTGAATAGCAGTCAGTGTCCTTAAAGCGGGTGTGTCAGCCCTACAGCGTGTACTCTGCCAGTTTACAGTGCTACTCATATCTGGTGTCATAATAGCTTGGATTTAAAAACAAAAAACTTTTTTCACTGTTATAGATTGAATAGCAGCTAGTTATCTTCAAGCAGGTGTGTTACGCTAACAGTGGATACGGTGACCAGTGCCACCACTTAGATCTGGTGACACAATAGCTTGGATTTAAAAACAAAAAACTTTTTTCACTGTTATAGATTGAATAGCAGTCAGTGTCCTTAAAGCGGGTGTCAGGCCTACAGCCTGTGCTCTGCACAACTGTGCCGGTGCACATTGCCACTCATATCTGGTCTCACAGTAGCTTGCACGCATAGTACCACTAATCCCAACAAAAATGACAGGCAGAGGCAGGCCACCCCGCAGGGGCCATCGTGGTCGTGGTGCTGTGATTCCCTTTGGCCCTAGAATAATGCCCAGTTTTCAGAGGCCACGTACCCTGAACTTGAAAAGTTCTGAGGACATAGTTGACTGGCTAACACAGGACACCCAATCTTCTACAGCCTCCGCTCAGAACCTTGACGCACCATCCTCCTCCAGCTTAGCTTCAGGCACCTCTCAAGATACCACTCACCCGCCTGCCGCCACCACCAAAACTAGCACCACAGCCGCTTCAGTTGGTATGTCAGAGGAGTTATTCACACATCCGTTTGAAGAAATGAGTGATGCGCAACCATTATTGCCAGAGGATGTAGATAACAGGGATATGTCTCAGGCAGGCAGCATTACACACATGGACGTACGGTGTGATGATGATGATGATGTTGTACCCGCTGCTGCTTCCTTTGCTGAGTTGTCAGATACAAGTGAAGCGGTTGATGATGACGATGCGTCCATGGATGTCACGTGGGTGCCCGCTCGTCAAGAAGAAGAACAGGGCGAAAGTTCAGATGGGGAGACAGGGAGGAGGAGGAGACGAGTTGGAAGCAGGGGGAGGTCGTCGCAAGGAGCTAGTGGCACAGTCAGACAGCATGCATCGACACCCGGGGTCAGCCCGACAGCACGCCAATCAACGCATGCTGTGTCCACCACCAGAATGCCGTCATTGCAGAGCTCAGCAGTGTGGAATTTTTTTTGTGTGTCTGCCTCTGACAACAGCGATGCCATTTGCAACCTGTGCCAAAAGAAACTGAGTCGTGGGAAGTCCAACACCCACCTAGGTACAACTGCTTTGCGTAGGCACATGATCTCACATCACAAACGCCTATGGGATCAACACATGAGTACAAGCAGCTCGCCTACTCTAAGCCGCCAGCCTCCTCCTGGTCCAGCATCTTCAGCCACGTCAACCACTGCTGTCCTCCTTGTCCCCTCTCAACCATCCGCCACTCCGCCTCCCGCCTTGAGCAGTTCACGCTCATCTTCCCACAGTCATGTGTCTGTCAAGGACATGTTTGAGCGTAAGAAGACAATGTCAGAAAGTCACCCCCTTGCCCAGCGTCTGACTGCTGGCTTGTCCGAACTATTAGCCCGCCAGCTTTTACCATACAAGCTGGTGGAGTCTGAGGCGTTCAAAAAATTTGTAGCTATTGGGACACCGCAGTGGAAGGT